CCTGGTGTGGGGCTGTGTGTGCCGCCTCTTGTGTGCCAGCCTGTGTGCAGGCATGTTTTGTGACAGCCTTGAAGGAACGCATGAGCACGTGTGCCAGTGCGGGTGCGGGGCGCGGGGAGGCGGGAGAGCCCGAGTGGGAAGCCCCGCGAGGGAGTGCGCGTGGGAGTGGGAGTGCCTGCTGGAGACCATGCGGGGGCGCGCCCGGGCCGGCGCGTGCGCTCGAGTGCGCGTGAGTGCGGATGCGCGCCGCCGCCCCCCGCCGGGGTCCGAGCTGGTTGCCATGGGAACGCGCCGCGGCCCGAGTTAATCATTTCCTGTGGAAAGTGTGCGGGAGGGGCGCGAGCGGGCGGGCGGCGGAGGCGGCGGCGTGGAGCTGCCTCCTGTAGGCGGGCCGGGCCGGGCCGAGCCCTGGGCGCTGCGGCGACGCCGGGATCCTGCCTCCGCCAGGCCGGTGAGTGGGGGGCCCGGGCGGGCTAGGGGCGGGCGGGGCGCTGGGGCTCCGCCCGGACAGCAGCCCAGCCGTTCGGGGCGCCGCGTCCCGGCCGGCCCTGCCCACGGGACCCCTCTGTCCCGACCCGCTGGGGGCGCGGGGAGGGAAAGGCCCGGGAGACCCAGCCCTGCGAGGTCCCCCGCCAGCGCCGTTCAGCCCCAGTCGAGGATCTTGCTGGGATCTGGGCATGGGGGCGGCGTGTCCCCCGGGATCTGAGCAGCCTCGGGACCCCGTTTGGATTTCATTGAACGAGGAGAGCGCGCAGACCCTACTCCGGATCGGCTTGTCAATCGGCGCTGCCCCCTCCCCTTCCTGGGGTCTCCCCCACACCCAGGGCTCCCTTGAAGGCTGCCGTTGGGTCCCTCCCACCACGACCCTGGGGAGTTCGCTTTTTCCTGGCAGGGCCAGGGGCGGGGTGCGCCAGCCCAGAGGTCAGGAAGAAGGGCCTTGGCCGGTGCCCTCTGGGCAGTGAGGAATTGGGTCTTTGACAGCCGCAGTTGTGGGGGTCTCAGCAGGGAGGGCGATCCCAGAACCACCCCCTAAGCCCCGCATTGCTAGTTAGAGCAGAACTCTGGCTGGTGCAGTGAAGGGCCTGGTCCTGGGAGATATGAAAGAGGAAGCTGTGTTTAATTAAATTCTGGAGTACCATTTACTGCCCTCTGCCAACCTCCATACCCCAGCACTCTCTCAAGATTGCGGGTTGTGGCCACCTCTGGCCTTTCACCTTCCCTGGCTGTCCCTCTGCCTGAACACGATGAGCACCCACCCGTTCATGTATTCCCCATGCCCTTGTTAAAGTAGCCATCTCCTTGACCAGGGAGAGTCATTTGCTAGGAATGCAGCCTCAGAATGGAGCCTTGCATTTGCAGTGACTGGACTTTAGGGGCACAGGGTGGTGAGTTCTGCTGTTCATAGGGGCACCAGGGACCAGAGGGTTTGAAATCTGGGTTGCCCTGGAAAGCCCAGGATAGATGATGGTGTGCAGGGAGGTTGAATTCCCTGTACAACATCCCTCACCTTCTGCCTGCTCTCCCAGGGGGACCAAGTCCTGCCCACTGCAGTCTCTGGGCAGCTGTCCAGCCTGTCCCCCCAATCTTTGCAATGTCCCTGATCTAGGGCAGGGGGAGTACTGCAGGTCTGTCCCCCTGGTCTAAACCCAGAGAGGCAGAGACCCTCTTCCCCAGCCAGCCCCTCTGTATTCACCAACCACTGGAGCAAAGTCACTGAAAAATAAAATTTTAGAGCTCTTAGTATATGCTAGTATTGTTCTGCACACTTTACCTTGTCTAATCTTTATGGCAACCCTATAAGGTGTAGTTCTCCCCATTTCACAGATGGAGATAATGAGGCATGGAGAGGCAAAGTAATTCTCCCAAGTCACACGTCTAGTAAACATTGAGCCAGGTTCTGAACCAGTCCCACTGCCCTCCCTGACGAATCCTCGATTGGGAGAATTTCCTAGACACCAGGTGTCATTTCAGATGCCCATGTCAACGAGAGAGAGGGCTGCTTTCTTGGTCCAGGACCCTGGGCTTCAGATTCCTTGATACTTTTGCCCCTCACACCCCTGAGGCTGCAAACTTCAGCTGCTTTTTCCTCTCCGGGATCTAGCGCACGCCCTTCCTCTTTCTTCCTGATATCTTCCTGGCTCCCTCCTCCGCTTCCCTTCCTGATAACCACAGAAACATTATATCCTCCTGTCCCTGCCCCTCAGACTGAGCTGATCTCCCTGAAAGTCTTCTCTGTCCACTGAGGAGTCAGCCTCCAACACCCGGCACTGTCTCACCTTCCCAGCAGCGGGGCACGCAGATGGACCTGTCTTGCTCCTTCCCCTGCCCATTGGACAGCTGGTCTGCAGGGTTGGTTGTGTGCCCAGCTCTGTGCCAAGCAGCCTGGAGAAGAGGACATTTGGCTGCTCCCCTTGGTTTCTTCCATGCCACACTGGTCCATCTCAGTTTCTTCAGTGGAGCTGGCTCATGTATTTAGATCAGCTTCTGCCCTGTTCTTTGGCTCACATTCCTGTCCCCTTCCCAACAAGACTGCACCCAGGAGCCTCCTGGTTGTTCTCTGTCAAGGAAGGAAGAGACCATAGCTCCCTTGCCAGGTGCCTGGTGTTCTTCCAGAGTTGGGCTCTGCAAACAGCAGATACCAGATCTTCAGGCCCCTCACCCTTGGACTGTCTACTTTTTCTCTTTCTTTCTTCCTTCCTTTTCTTTTTTTCTTTTCTCTCTTTCTTTCTTTCTTCTTTCTTTCCCTTTCTTTCTTTCTTTTTTCTCCGTCCTTCCTTCCTTCCTTCTTTGTCTCTCAATGCTTTAGTCACTCCTGTCCCTCTGTCTCCTCAACATGCTCAACTCTCCCCTGTTCTAGACACCACATCCTGTCCTTCCCATCCTAGCCAAACATCCCCAAGGAGAAGGAAGTAGCTGCTTCCTCCCCCAGCTCCCGCCCCACTCTTTGAGCCATCTGCCCTTCTCCCTCCAGGGGCCCAGGCTGTCTGCCTGTCTGGGCTTCCAGTCCTCCATGTCTCTATGGCATGACACACTGGGCACTGACCAGTCTCTCCTTCCCACTTGCACTTCGGTTACTTCTGAAGACACTATACTTGCCTGGAGCTCCCACCCGTCTCTCACCTTCCTTTGGAAGCTTTCAAGCCCCCCCCCCCCCCCCCCATGAGCCCTTTTATCACATGGCTGTCTCCTCTTGCTCAAGCTTTGATGATTGCCTCCTCACCTGTGGCATTGGTGACCCTGTTTAGCTCTGAATCTGTGTCCATCCTTGACCTCTCTTCCAGGCTTCAGTCCAAGATTTTGTGTGTGTTCATTTCAGAACATTCCCCCCACAGGACATCCCAGAGTGCTGAATGTGGGTGCAGCTGCAGGCAGGGTCCAATGGGGCTGCACACATGAATGTGTGTGAGCTCTGGGACCCATCGCGGGTCAGGGGAAGTGGATATCCTTCAAATAGCTTTCTTTACTTCCTGGCAGGAAGTGGCCACTGCAGTGAGGGCTGGAGACAGTAGCCCAGGTAGCTCCACTAGGGAGTCCTTCAGTTACCCCCAGTTCAATCTTTTTTTTTTTTTTTTTTGAGATGGAGTTTCACTCTTGTTGCCCAGGCTGGAGTGCAATGGTGCGATCTCAGCTCACCACAACCTCCGCCTCCTGGGTTCAAGTGATTCTCCTGCCTCAGTCTCCCGAGTAGCTGGGATTGCAGGCATGTGCCACCATACCCAGCTAATTTTGTATTTTTGGTAGAGATGGGGTTTCTCCACGTTGGTCAGGCTGGTCTCAAACTCCCAACGTCAGGTGAGCCTCCTGCCTCGGCCTCCCAAAGTGCTGAGATTGTTGCTTTGCACACAGTAGGTGTTCAATAAAGACTTGTGCAGGGAATGCCTGGGCTCTGTTCATTTGTCCAGTTCATGAGGGACCTGTCCCTGACTGAAGCTTTCTGTCCCTGACCAATGCTCCCCACCCCCCTCCATTCCCCACACCACCTGGCGCCTGGCCGGCACCTGCAGCCTCCAGTAGCCTGCTCAGACTGTGAGGATTTTTTGAAGTGTTTATCTCCCTTCTGACCCGGAGCTTTCAGGCCTCATCTCTTCTGATCCAAAAGGTCCCCTGGCAGGTTCCTGGCACCCAGTAGGCATTATTAAATGAAGACTGAATGAATCTTTGTATCTCAACACCCGTACGGTGCCAGGCGCGGAGCACAGGCTAGTCGAATACATGAATGAGAACTTGCTGTATATAAACTTCACTTGTCACTGGCCACAGTCAGGGCCCTTTCGAGTCCCTCCTCAGTGAAATGTTAATATTCAGAGCATTCACTGCTCTGCTGACAGGCCTTAGGCAGAGGAGCCTGAAGCCTAAGGGTTAAGCATGTGGTTAAGTGCAATTAGAAAATTAGATGTCTTGGAGGAAAAGGATTAGACTTACGGAGATGCTGCTGACTCGCGGTGTTTCCTCCGTGTGGGGCTAGGACCTGGCTTGTCCTCAGGCTGCCAGGCTCAGCGTGGAAGAGCTCAGGTGTGGGGTCTCAGGCACAGCTGACATGCACCTTTTCCACGTCGGAGCCTCTGTATTCGGAAACAAACACCCCAGAAAGGCAGCAGGCCCCATTTCATCTTGCGAGCCCTGGGGTCTTTGGAGGACAGTGCAGTTGGAGCTGCTGCCTTAGGTAACCAGCGACCGGTGGAGCATAGACCCTTCGGGATGGCTGGCTCTGCCCGAGGTGCGTTCGCGCTGGTCTGCGATCTTCAAGCTTATCTCCCCTTGTTGTCTCCGCAGGCTGCCCGGTGCCCGGAGGAGGCTGCTGAGCCCCGGGCCATGGTCCCCTCTCGCAGGACGTGGAACCTGGGAGCCACGCCCTCGCTGCGGGGCCTGTGGAGAGTGGGCCGGGCCCCGGAGCCCGAGCCGGGGATGGCCCGCCCCGCCCCAGCCCCAGCCAGCCCGGCTGCCCGCCCTTTCCCACACACCGGCCCGGGGAGGTTGAGAACTGGTGAGTCCGCATTTTTAAAATGCCTCTTTATTTCCCTTCCTTCCTCCAGATACCAGAGATGAGACTGAGGTTTCTCACCGGTTCCTAAGCCCAGTCAGAGCTGTCAGGTAATTACAGGGTAACCGACAGCCCAGAGCCGGACGGGCGTGGAGCTGGAGCGTCAGTCTCGCCGGGCGCTCCTTCCCTGCGCCCCTGTCTGGAAAGAGGAGACCTGGAGGCCGGGTTAAACTTTAACATGGGCGGGCGCAGAGCAGGGGGACCAGCCGCCTTTCCTCTGGCCGAGCTGGTCAGAGCTCTGCGGGCCGCCGTCCTTGCTTGAGAGCGCGTGGTCGCTCCGATCTCTGCCCAGGCTGGTAAACAAGGTAGGTGAAGCGGCTGCCCGGGCACCGAGCGCGCCGCTGACACTTGATCCTGCCTGGGCTGGCCCCTGGACGGCTGGGGAGTGGACTGAGGCTGCTTGGGAGCGTGGCCTGGCGGGGGCTTCGGGGTCATGTGCTAATTTCAGGTGCTTCTGTAGAGACCCTGACAGCAGGTGGGCAGGGGTCCCAGAGTCTTGGCCCCCACTGTTCCCTCAGGGAGCTGTCAGTGCCAGCTCCCCTTTCTGGGTCATGTCCCCCAGTGCTGCGAACAAGAAGTGAGCGGCTCCTCTGATTCCGGGCGGGGACTGGATTGTCAGGGCTGGGGAGCTGCCTGTGACCCTTTCCCAAGGCGTGGGCAGGTCGTCCTGGTAGTGTGGGGGAGAGAGGGCTCTCCAGACAAGGCGCCTTCAGGGGTCTGCTGCCTGTCCCTTCTGACCTACAGGGACGGAATCTAGACTGCCAGCCTGTCAGAGCTAGCAGAGTCCCTCTGGGCCATCAGGTCCAAGCCCCTTGGCACACAAAAGGGGAAACTGAGGCCCAGAGAGGCACACAGCAAACTCCTATTCACCCTTCTCTCCCACCACATTTGTGCTGTCCACGGCAGCTGGACTGATGCCTTCCGAGGTCTCTCTGCTTCCATGGTTGTCTGGGGCTGGCTGCTCCCAACAGCACAGCCAGGCTGGGGATGACCGGGGGGGGGGGGGGGGGGGGGGGGGGCGGGGCTTGGGAAAAGCGTGGGCATTTGGGCCAGGTAACCCAGAGGATGGCCTCTACCCCATAAGGTTGTCCTAAGGATAACAAACGTAATATGAATGAGTATTGTTTTTCTGGTAAAACAGAAACATTTTCCCTTAGAAAACTTCAAAACACATAGAAAAATATCAAAAAGGAAATAAAAATCACAAGCTAGTCACTGAATATTTTATGTAGTGCCTTCCAGCCGTGTGTATGTGTGTGCATATAGGTTTTTGAAATATTGTGTTCTGTCAGCTTTCCAACCTGAAGGAAAAAAATTGGGTATTGTGAAGATAATATGACCATACAGACTTTTATCCACTTTAAAAATTTAAGACAAAGGTTGAATGAAATCCTGTGTGTGAAATGGAAGCGTCATGCCTGCCACTGGGCCTCAGACAGGTCAGCTGCCCCAGGCCCCTCTGAGCCCCCCAACCAACCCCCACATTGCCACCCTGAGAGTCGGCTGGCAGAGGGTTGGTCAGCACATGGGATTTCAATCCTGGCTTCAATCCCAATGACCCTGGGCACATTGTTAACCCTCCCGGGCTTCCGGTTCTTTGACTGTGAGGTGGGGAGAATGCTCCCCCCCCACCTCCCTGGGGAGTTGTGAGGAGCTGATGGCAACTGTAGTCTATTGGCCTGTACTGAGGGCCCTTCCTGTGTGCCTGGCACTACATGGGTACCCCATGTATCTCATGCCATTTGATCCTTGTGAAGTTGTCCTCATTTTATTAACAAGCAAACTGAGGATCAAGAAGGTGTGTAAAGGCTGGGTGCAGTAGCTCACCCTGTAATCCCAGCACTTTGGGAGGCCAAGGCAGGCAGATCACTTGAGGTCAGGAGTTCGAGAACAGCGTGACCAACATGGTGAAATCCCGTCTCTACTAAAAATACAAAAATTAGCTGGGTATGGTGGTGCACGCCTGTAGTCCCAGCTACTTGGGAGGCTGAGGTATGAGAATTGCTTGAGCCCAGGAGGTGGAGGGTGCAGTGAGCCAAGATCACGCTACTGTCCTCCAGCCTGGGTGACAGAGAGAGACCCTGTCTCAAAAAACAAACAAAACAAAAGGTGTGTAAGGCCTGAAAAGCATCTGGCCCAGTGGCTGGCAGTCGGGATATTGTTACGTCTCAGGGCAGAGGCTCTGCATTTGCCTTGTGAGGCCAGCCGCCATCCCATCCTGCTCAGCCCTGCAGGTGGAGGTGGGTGGCTGGGACATTGCTGTCGCAGCCTGCCCTCTCTCCCACTGGTGAGGGAGGCAGTGTGTCAGAGGCTTGAGGGGACACGCGCTAGCTGGTTCTGAATTTGCTTGCCGAGGCAATGGAGACTGGGCCGCCTGGTGTGGATTTGGTCTTAATGAAGTCAGGGGAGAAATTGCCACCTAGAGGCAGCCAGGGTAATAAAGCCATAACCTCTGTGCAAGTCCTCTAAGCTTTGGGCAGGCTGGCTGGCATCGGCTTCCTTCCGCTGCCTTGTTAAGCAATGCCTGCCCCCACCAAAAAAAAGCCACTGTGGGAATAGGGGAGCCTGCGGTAGGGTGTTGAGTCCCCTCCAGAAGAGAATCTTGGGGCGGCTTTTGGTAAAGAAGGTGTGTGGCCCCTGCCCTGAGCCAGGCCTTTTCCCTCTGCTGTGTGGGGCAGGCGTGTGAGGGTGTGTGAGCCCCTCCTGGCCACATCTGAGCCAGCTGGGTATGTGTGAATGCTCAGCTGCAGCCCTGGCCAGTGGTCCGTGGCTCGCAGTCTTCAGCCAGCGGTCGGAGTGTCTCACCTATCTCTCTGTTCTGGGACAGGGCGTGGAAAAGATACCCCAGTCTGTGGTGACGAGGACTCCAGTGCCCGAAGTGCAGCTCGCCCGGCCCTAGCTCAGTGCCGAGCTCTCAGTGTGGACTGGGCTGGCCCCGGGAGCCCCCACGGGCTCTACCTGACCCTGCAGGTAAGCACTGGAGCCTTCCGGGCTGGGGGTACCTTGGCCTCCAGTGGCTGGGTTCCTGCCAGGCTCCTGGGGGTAGGAAGCACCAGGGGAGAGCTGGGGACCTGCCTCACACTTCTGGTGACCCTCACACCCTGGTGACCCATCTGCCTGTGAGCTGCTTTATTAAGTCAGCTAGGGGAAATTTCACAGGAGCTGACAGCTTTTCAGCCACACCCTGGCTGAGGTGTTAAAGTGGGAAGCATGGGGCCTTCGCCGAGATGGGCAGAGCTTGGAGAAGGTGTTGGGAAAACAGGCAGCTTTGTGTAGTTGATTATTCTCAAACATGGTTATGTGAGTATTTCCTTGGAAGTATTTCCTTGTTTGAAGTGGGAATTCAAAGCCAGATGGGGGATTCACTAAAACTTGGGGTCTTCTCCCTTGCAGTTATTACCAAGTGACTGTAAAAAGACAAAGTAAGGCTGGGCGTGGTGGCTCAGGCCTGTAATCTCAGCACTTTGGGAGGCTGAGGTTGGAGGATACTTAAGCCCAGGAGTTCACAACCAGCCTGGACAATATAGTGATACTCCATCTCTACAAAAACAAACAAAAAAAATTAGCCAGGCATGATGGTTCCTACAGTCCCCGCTACTCAGGAGGCTAGGATGGGAGGACCGCCTGCGCCCAGGAGGCTGAGGCTGCAATATGCTGTGATTGGACCACTGCACTCTAGCCTGGGTGACAGAGTGAGACCCTGTCTCAAAAAAAAAAAAAAAAAAAAAAAAAAAAAAAAAAAAAAAAAAAAAAAAAAAAAAAAAAAAGACAAACTTTACGTATATGTGTGTATTTGGCTATAGAAATAATAGACAATGTTAATAGTAATAATAGCTACTATTTATCAAACACGGACTTTGTGCCAGGCTTTACAGATCTCCTATCAGCCCTCATAATACTCCTAACAACCTCAGGAAACAAGATTTGATCTGAACTTTGTAGATGAGGATGTGGAGGCTCAGAGAGGTTAAGTCACTCGCTGCTGGTCACACATTCGACCATTCAACACAACTAGCCTTATAACATTTGTAAAGAATTGACACAGGGCAGAGATACAGTTACCCAGAAACGGCCTCTTGTAGTCTTCTATCTTTGAGAAATCCACTATTAAGTATTTGGTGTTTATTTATTTATCTTTTCTATATAGAACCCCTTGATTATATTTATATGATTTTTATTTCTGAGATGGAGTCTCATTCACTCTGTTGCTCAGGCTGGAGTGCAGTGGTGTGATCTTGGCTGCAACCTCTGCCTCCTGGATTCAAGTGATTCTCCTGCCTCAGCCTCCCAAGTAGTTGGGATTGCAGGTGTGCGCCACCATGCCTGGCTAATTTTTGTATTTTTGGTAGCGACAGCATTTCACCATGTTGGCCAGGCTGGTTTTGAACTTTTTTTTTTTTTTTTGGAGATGGAATTTTGCTCTGTCACCCAGGCTGGAGTGCAATAGCACGGTCTCAGCTCATTGAAACCTCTGCCTCCTGGATTCAAGTGATTCTTTTGTCTCAGCCTCCCGAGTAGCTGGGATTACAGGCGTGCGCCACCATGCCCAGCTAATTTTTGTATTTTTAGTAGAGATGGGGTTTCACCATGTTGGCCAGACTGGTCATGAACTCTTGACCTTAAGTGACCTGCCTACCTCAGCCTCCCAAAGTGCTGGGATTATAGGCTTGAGCCACAGTGCCTGGCCATATTTATATGATTTAAAAAAAATTTTTTTGAGACAGAGTCTCGCCCTGCCGCCCAGGTTGGAATGCAGTGGCATGATCTCAGCTCACTGCAACCTTCGCCTCCCAGGTTCAAGTGATTCTTATGTGTCAGCCTTCTGAGTAGCTGGGACTACAGGCGTGTACCACCACACCCAGCTAATTTTTGTACTTTTAGTAGAGATGGGGTTTCACCATATTGGCCAGGCTGGTCTTGAACTCCTGACTTCAAGTGATCTGCCCACCTCAGCCTCCCAAACTGCTGGGATTACAGGCGTGAGCCACAGTGCCCAGCACATATTTATATGATTTTTATTATTTATTTTAGATGTTATTCTGTGACTAGCTCTTTTCCTGAAGTAAGTCCTGGTAATCTCTTCATGTTTATCAACACATAGAAAACTACTTTTTTTTTTGGAACAAGGTCTGGCTCTGTTTCCCAGGCTGGAGTGCAGTGGTACAATCTCACTGCAGCCTCCAGCCAAGTCATCCCATCTCAGCCTCCGGGGTAGCTGGGACTACATGCATGTGCTACCGTGCCTGGCTAATTTTTGTATTTTTTGAAGAGATGGAGGTTTCACCATGTTACCTAGGCTGGTCCTGAATTTGTGAGCTCTGCCTTGGCTCTCCCAAGTGCTGAGATTCCAGGTGTGAGCCATCACGCCCAGCCCTCTGTCTTTCTTTTATCCTGCTGCATAATAGTCTACTTCAGGGCTTACCATCAATCATTTATAACGGATCCTCTATTGTTTCTGATTGCAGTGAGCTCCTTAAATAAATATCTGTGTTGTGTTCATGCAGTGATAGCTCTGAGTATTTTCAGGGCAGCACAAGCTCTGCCCGCTTTTAATGAATGCATTCGTTCAACAGATTATTTAGAATGTGCCAGTCTGTGCTAGAGTCAGAGGTACAGTGCAGAGAGACGAGAGAGTTTAGCAGAGGTGCCAGAGGGTAATTAAATAAGCACAAAGGGATGAAGGCAAACCAGGCAGGGGCCATGAAGGCAGTGGCAGAGGACGGACACCAGGGTTGTCTGGGGACGTTGCCAAGGCCCACCCCCTGCAAGGAAGCCGGTGCAGGAGAGGGCCCACCACTCCCCCACGTTCTCCTGACCATCCGTCTACACTGATTCTGCCGTTTCTGGAACTTCCACTTCCACAGAGCCTTGAAGGAATGCGTACAAATGGTGGGCAGGATGGTATGTGGGAAACACATACCCTTCAAGGGGACATATCCCTGCTACAAATGGAAGTCCGGGCCTGGGGAGCTTGTCCCAGCCCCTGATCTAAACATGGGTATGCTGGCTCTTGTGGCTTCAGGGACAGTCTTGTGTTTCGAGGTGTTTCTTGTCCCTTCTCATGTGATTCATCTGAAAACTGAACCAAAAGTGTCGTCTTTTATCTGTACAAATCTGCAAGAAAAGCAGGTCTGGTGAGAGAACAGTTAAAAGAAACCCGAGGACCCGCTCTTTGCTCTGTCTTGAGCCATCGGTAGTGAAATTGGAAGGCGGCGGTCAGAAACCCACAGCCTCCAGCTGGGTGGTGGCTCTGTTCTTGAGTTCTGATTATGGGGTGTTGAGCTGTGGTTGCAGCTGAGTCCTGGGGTCAGCAGATCCGCTGAAGATCTCTGGGAAGCTGGCACCAGCAACCGGCTTCCACGTTCACATCCTGCTGGGCCCCCACAAAGCTCTATTACACGGTAGGTGTTTCAGGGTCAAAAAGTGGGACCAGGGTGGGTCCCAAGCTCAGTGCAGCGACCTGGTATGCTTAGTGACACCTTCCCTCCCTAGCCTCTTTCCAGCAGTTAAAACGTAAGATGCACCCCATAGAAGTGCTGCAGAAATTCCCAATCCTCCAGGGCCCTGTCTGCCCTTTCTGTGGCTTGGCCAATAGGCCAGAAATAGTATAACCTTTGCCCTGGCTGGCAAATGGAAACTTCCAGCTGCTGTCCTAGCCGCCATGGTTGACAGGCCTGTTCACGATGGTGTGGCAGTTGGTCACAGGGTGGAGACAAAATTAAGTCGGAGGGAATTTTCTTTTTTCTTTTTGAGATGGAGTCTCGTGCTGTCACCCAGGCTGGAGTCGAGTGGTGCAATCTCGGCTCACTGCAACCGCCACCTCCCCAGTTCAAGTGATTCTCCTACCTCAGTTTCCCGAGTATCTGCAATTACAGGTGCCTGCCACCACACCCGGCCAACTTTTTTTTTTCTATTTTTTGTAGAGACAGGGTTTTACCATGCTGGCCAGGCTGGTCTCAAACTCCTGACCTCAGGCGATCCATTCGCCCTGGCCTCTCACAGTGCTGGGATTACAGGCATGAGCCACTGTGCCCAGTGGGAATATTCCTAAATATGAGAGGTGTGCTCCCCACCTGCCCTTCTCAAGCGGAACTCGGGGCTGAGAGAGGGAGGGGGTGAATTTTGGGCTAAGGAGCCTGCTGATGTCACTTTTCGTGTCTTTTCAACGATCTGTATTGGCTTTTTGATTGTCAACGTAAAAAAAAGTGAAGATTACAGGACTCATGTCCTGATCATAGTACCTCATATCAAGCCCCCACTATGCACCAGATGCCTTCGGGGGACTTAGCTGCGTTTGTCTTTTACTCTTCACACAAGCTCAGCGACACGTTCCTGTTATTACCATTTCTATTTTAAGAATGACGAGTGTGCAGCTTCAGGAAGGTAAGTAACTTGCCCACTGTCACACAGCTTAGCCGAGGCAGAGCCAGGCTTCACACACAGGCCTTGCCGCCTCTAGACCGTGAGTGTATTTCTTAGACTGAGCACTTTTAAAAGAGTAACTTATTTTTCTGTTTTGAATGTAAAGGTCACAAAGACACACAAAAATTGTCTGTCATCTCTCTTCCACGATAACCTCTGTTGATATTTAGAAGAAAAAAAAAAGAAAGAAAAGCTGAGCATGGTCCTCACGCCTGTGGTCACAACACTTTGGGAGGCTGAGGCAGGGGGTGGCTTGAGCCTAGGAGTTTGAGACCAGCCTGGGAAACATGGCAAACCTCATCTCTAAACAAAAAATACAAAAATCAGCCAGTCGTGGTGGTGCATGCCTGTAGTCCCAGCTACTTGGGAGGCTGAGGCAGGAGGATGGCTTGAGCCCAGGAGATCAAGGTTGCGGTGAGCTGTGATTCTGCTATTGCCCTCCAGCCTGGGCCACAGGGTGAGACTCTGTCTTAAAAAAGAAAAACACCCAAAAAACAAAAAAACAGCCAGGTGCAGTGGCTCATGCCTGTCATCCTAGCACTTTGGGAGGCCGAGGTGGGTGGATTACTTGAAGTCAGGAGTTTGACACCAGCCTACCCAACGTGGTGAAACCCTGTCTCTACTAAAAATACAAATATTAGCCAGGTGTGGTGGTACATACCTGCAATCCCAGCTACTCGGGAGGCTGGGGCAAGAGAATCACTTGAACCTGGGAGGTGGAGGTTATAGTGAACTGAGATCGTGCCACTGAACTGCAGCCCGGGTGACAAAGTGAGACTCTGTTTAAAAAAAGAAAAGAAAAAAAACACAGTCCGTGTTTATAAGGTTAAGAATTCAAATGCTAAAGAGATTGAAAATGAAATGTAAGGCCGCCTCCTTCCCCTCTTCCACATTCTCTGTGTTGTGAACTTTCTTTTTGTTCTCCCCAAATTGAAATGATGCCTGTTTCTACTCTCAGCCACTACGCGATCCCCCCGGCCTTCCAGGGAGGACCGCTGTCTATGTAGTTCTCTCGATCTGTGTCTGTGCCTGTTGTATGTTTATTATCCTCAAACGGGGTCACTCTTTGCATGTGGCCCTGCTGCCTGCCTTGGGCATCTTTCTGCGTGAGTGGCAGGCGATGTTCTCTGGATGAAACACCTCTTCGTGCCTCCCCTCTCTCCCTGTGCCCGCACACTGGCCCTCTCTGTCTCGAGTCCTTTGCCTGTGGTCCCCCTGGAAGAGGAGACAGCTTCCTACGGCCTCTCAATAGCCCTATGGGGTGGGAAGAGTGAAGGAGGCAGGGCCGTGGCCCTTCCCCCGCTCGGACAGACTCATGCGCAGCCTCCTTGGCAGTCCTGGGGGTCCCATCTGGAGGGTGGGGCTGTGTGCCTGGGGTGGCAGCAGCTGGCAGGAGAGCAGCTGACCTGAGGTTGGTGTGTGTGTGGTGGGGCTGGGTGGCTGCCTGTGGGGCTGGTGCGCCCGAAGCACACCCCATAGAGCCTACAGGGATGGCGTGAGTTTTGCCTAAGGACTCGAAGTGCCTAAGAAACTTCCTTGCTGGTGCAGAAGGCCAGCTGCCCGAGGGAGGCCTGGAGAAGGCACTGCCACTGTCTTGCTGCGGGATCTGGCACATCCTCTTCCAGAGCCTGGGCCTCAACGTCCCCACCCACCCACACAGTGGCGGACTGGACCCGCTGGGCTCTGGGGTGCCAGCTCTGAGAATACACCATCCTCTGGCTTGAGGGTCCCTTCCTGGCGCTGTCCCCTTCATGGGAGGATTCTGCTTGTGTCTTGGCAGCAGGCCCTGCAGGACAAGGGGTGCAAGAGCCAGAGTCAGGGGAAGAAAGAAGAGAAGCTTCAGTAGAGGCAGGTGCCAGCCCCCAGGCGGGCCCGGGAGGCCTGGGAAGCTGGTGGCACGATGAATGTAGAGAACACAGGTAAAGCAGATGTGCCCGCCAACCTGGCACTCCCTGGTGAAGCCGGTGCAGGAGGGAGGCTCTTGTGTGGTCACTGCTATCCCTATGCCCTGTCCTCCCCGCTCCCTGGCTGGAGGTGGCCCAGATAGACTCCAGTGGCCTGACTTGAAGCTCTGAGACCCCAGCCTGCCTCTCCTGGATTCAGGGACAGTGGTGTGTATAGAACCTTCATCTGACCACCTGCCTCCCACGGTGTCCAGGGCCCCACCCAGTGATAAGAGGCCTTGGCCAGTGTGGGCTGGGGTTGAATTTCCCTGCTTTTTGTCTTCTCCCAGTGCCTCTCTAAAGCAGGGCGAGGGTGGCAGCCTCACAGACGCCACCACAGGCAGACAGAGACTCGGCCTTCTCCCTCCTATCCACGGGCTCCCAGGGTCTAGAGGCTCCTAGGACAGGACTCTGATTCTCCTGGCCAGAGGCTGAGATATGGGATCCGGTGGCTCAGCTCTTCTCTGGCAGGGCCTGCCATGGTGTCCAGGGCTGGCTGGTTCTGGAACATTCCACAGGCCCTTCCTTGTAGTCTCACGGGTCCATGCTGGGGGCCCCGGCAGTAAGTGAGAGCCCGGCAAGAATGGAGAAGGAGCATCCTTCAGGAGCTGGGGGGAAGGCCGAGAGCATGTGGAGGAAAGAGGAGCTGGCCTTGCTGTCATCTTCCTCCTCTGTCACCAAAAGGTTAACTTGTATGTCTGAACTTGCCACGTGGTGGAAGGAGCGGCAGGGCTTGGGGTCTGGCTGAGTGTGGGCAGGCCAGCCTCAAGCAGGGGACATTGCCCCGCCGATGGTGCACCCAGGAGAGGAAGGCTGATTCCAGGGAACAGCAAGGGGGGCCCGTCAGTGGGGCCAGGCCTCGCCTGCACTGCACCTTTGAGCCCTGAGTGCAGCCTCCCCAGCACAGGGACCCCTTTGATGTCACCCCATCCTCACGTCCTCCCCTTCCTGGGAACTCCCTGAGCTTCTTGGAGATCTTTTCTCTCCCATGAGCCCTCTTCAGGCCCCCTTCCCACTCCCCTGCTGCAGCACTGAGATGTGGGGACTCCCTCCAGCGGTGGCACCCCGTGACCTGAGCAGTGTTCTGGCTGAGCTGAGCTGTCCGAGACCTCATTCCTGCCCCATGGGCTGTTGTGTAACAGCCACCCACGCCTGTGCATCTCCACAGTGCCGGGCTCCTTCCAGACAAGGCCCCTTGTCCCCATTTCTCCTTGGAAACTCCTGCCGGGCCCCTCCCACAGGTCTCTCGAGTGGCAGAACCAGCTCTCGGGCTGGGAGTCCAGTGCGTTCCCTGCCTCACTGCAGCAGCCTGAAAAGGGCTGAGGGCCACGCTGTCACATGCCCCTCATGCCACCCTGTGTGCAGGCCTGGAAGCATCCCTCTGACCTCACTCGCTCTAGAACAGATCACCGGAGCTCGGCCAGCTCTGTGTGACATGCATGCTGCGTCACGTGCAGGCCACACAGCCGGGGTCACCACCCAACCGGGGATGCCCAGCTCCAGCTCCCTGGAGAACTCAGGTGGAGGAGGGAAGAGCCAGCCTGTGTGTGCTCCTCCTGCTCTCCTAGAGCGCTGCGGGAGGTCTCTAGACATCTGCCCCACCCCCTGGGGCTATGCGGCGATGTCCCCGCCCAGCTGCAAGCCGCACCCTCCCCACTCCCCTGTCCAGCCCGAGTCCATTCGTTCTGCTTCGCCCAGGCCAGGCTGTCAGAGGGGTGCATGACTTCAAGTGCATGTGGCTTCCTTCCTAGAGTTTAGGAGCCCCCCAACCCCAGCCTGCCAAGGGTTGGGATTTCTGGGGACCTAGTGTGGGAACGCCTAGAGGCTGGGGCTCCCAGGCGGAAGGCAGCGCTCTCTGGCCAGCAGAGGTCCCTCTTCACTCTTCACTCTGCTGTGCTCTGCCAGGTCCCATTTATGCTCCCTGAGAGGAGGAGGCAAATCCCCTGCCCCTCCTCCCCCAGTCCCCCATTCTTCTCTCTCTCCCCGGAGCTCTTTGCTCCCTACCTGCAGAGACCACGGCCGATCTTGGCGCCCTGGAAGCAAGCTATGACAAGCATCCCAGGCCCCCGTGCGCAGGTCACGGGCCCTGATTCTCTGTTCTTGTCCTTCATCCGTCTGTCCGTCTCCCTTGCTCCTGGTGACAGGACAGTGGGAGGCCTTTGGAGGAAGAGGACTCAGGCGGTATTCCACTTGGCCGGGTCTTTCCCTCTGTCTTGCCTGGGGGTCCCTGCGTGCCATCGTCGCCAGATGCCGGCTGGCTGAGTTCCTGCCCCATGTGTGGTGCTGGGTCTGTCTGTCCATCACACGTGCACCCGGCTCCCCTGGCTCTCCTGGCTCCCCTCTCTCCACACAGGGGACCACTTGCCACAGGGGGAGGCTGGGGAGCCCAGTTCTGATCTTCTGTACTCTTGAGAGGATTTCAGACTTAAATAACATTCCTACGAGAGTAGAGTTGTCTAGGGTGAGAATCCTTTGTCTTTCCCAGCAGCGGTTCCTTGCAGGCTGGCCACGGAGAGGGGCTAGCCCAGCAGACCTCGGACACGTGCTCTGAGAGATGTGTTCAGTGAAAGTTGCTTTCTTAAGTCAGATCCAGGCAATTTCATTCCCCAGACGCTGCCTGGGGGTGTCTTCTTCTGAGATAGGCCCCAGCTAGCCTATGCCGCTGCCACCCCGGCCCTCGCCCAGTTGCTTACCCCCTCTGCTCACCCCCTGTCATCCCTGATGGTCTGCCCTGCAGTGATGGACCCCCTCCTCTGCCAGCGTGGGACCTCTACTGCCCTCTCATCAGCCACTACTTTGCTCGTAGGTGGGCGTCTCTTTGGCAGCGGGAGGTGCTTGAGCCTGTTGGGGCCGCCTGGTGCGGCCCCCGTGGTGCATAGGATGGTGGAAGCCATGTCCCAGCTCCAGGAGGAGAAGGCCCAGCTACAGGAGGAGCTGGTGGTCCTACGGGAGAGCCTGGCCCTCCGTGACAGTGACCAACAGGCAACATCCACTCAGCGGCAGAACCAGGTACCTGGGGAGGCTGGGATGGGCAGAGGCCACTGCCCACTGTGGAGCAGGTCAGAGGACATCACTTGGGGCATCTGACCCCACCAGGCCACTGGTGTAAGAGGAGACACCTGGGTAGGGTGGCCAGAGTCAGAGGCCTCCCATCCTGGAGGATGAGCTTTTGAGATGCAGCATTTCTTCCAGCTCACAGAAGCCTCCCATCCGGGTCCTCCTTGTGCCCCCATCTCCTCACAGTTACCGGGGGCCAGGACCTGCCCTCCTAGGAGATAATGTAGACATGAGTGAAGCAGGAAGGTGCAGGGGTGCTTCCTACCGAGTCCACCCCATCTTCCCTGGTGCCCTGCACTGGGCAGCCTGAGCAGACGAAACTCATCAGACAGTCACCCTGCAGGAGACTGGCAGGACTTTTCTGGTTCTTTTGATTTCTCATTAAAGGTGGATGCTAGTTTGAGTGCATGTTGGGGAAGAGATCTCTCAAACCTCTGGAAGCCAGGGAGAGCCAGGGTTCATGCTGGTCAGCGTCGTCTCCTTCGTTGGCTGGGCAGGACATTTGAAGACCCTTGGCTCGTGAGCTGCACATCCCGTGGGGCTGACCACCTTGCCCTCTTCTGTGTGTATGGCTGCGTCACTTTCTTCTCCTTCTGCATCTCCACGAGGGCTCCCAGCCTCTTTCCTCACCCTCATCCTCAGCGTCTGTCTCCATGGCTGTGTCTGAGCCTTGCCCACTTCCCCAAAGTTCCCAAGTCCGTCTGCCATATCATTCCCACTTCTGATCCAGTGCCCTGGCCCGACTGTGGGGCCCCTAAGCTCTGGGCCCGGGGCTCTCTGTTGACAGCCTGGCCTTCAGGAAGAGCTAAATTCTTTCTGTGTCCCACGAGCTAGCAAAGAGAGGGCCTGGACATGCCGACGTCTGCTTATTGCATATCACGCGATGCTGTTTGCTGTTAACTTGCTCTCTCAGTTCTGGGGGCAGCATAGTATGCGTGCTTTTGAGATGTAGCATTTCTTCCAGCTTAAGGTGTGTCCTTTTCTTAAGAATGGCCTGGCCTGCCCACCTGCCCCTTGCTGAGTTGGGTGGGCCTCCTTGGGGCGCCCCTCCCAAGGAGGGGCTCCGTGTCTACCTCTTACACACTTACCCCACAACTTGACTGTCTGGGCCTGCCTTCCTCACTAAGTGGGGCTCCTGTAGGCCAGCTCTGTATTCTCTTGCCTGCTGCACGCCTGCCTGCTTCCTCGAGTATTTATGTACCCCTCTTTTGTACTGGCATTGAGCTGGGCATGGGGGATACCCCAGTGGACAGCAGGCTCCCACACATGGAGGCTCTGCCTGGGGGAAGACAGACATTTGCTTCACATGCCCACATAAAGTGGGACGGGCTCGGTGGATGGGCACATGCATGGCCTCGAGGGTTTGTCCCTGGGCATCTTGAGCTGAGCTCTGGGACAGAGCAGAGGGAAGCACACTCTGAGCTGAGCCCCTGCCAGTGCAAAGGGACTGTGGTAGGAGGGGAGTAGCTCAAGAGCCTTGGGGATGGCAGGGGCTCCAGGGCCCACCCTGCAGGATGTGTGTCTGGCCTCAGGCAGGGGCCAAGCAGCCGCTCTTCCTTCCCTGGCCTTCCCCAGGTAGGCTGTTTAGAAACTTCATTTTGCAAACAAGTGTTTTTTAAAGGGCTTTGTGAGCCAGGCATGGTGGCTCACGCCTGTAATCCCAGCACTTTGGGAGGCCAAGGCAGGTGGATCGCCTGAGGTCAGGAGATTGAGACCAGCCTGGCTACCATAGTGAAACCCCGTCTCTACTAAAAATACAAAAAAATAGCTGGACGTGGTGGCAGGCGCCTGTATTCCCAGCTACTTGGGAGGCTGAGGCAGGAGAATCTCTTGAACCTGGGAGGTGAAGGTTGCAGTGAGCTGAGATCCCGCCATTACACTCCAGCCTGGGCAACAAGAATGAAACTCTATCTCACATATATTAAAAAAAAAAAGAAAGAAAGAAGGAAGGAAGGAAAGAAAAGGGGCTTTGTTGAGAAAGAGAGAAAGAAAGTAAGAAAAAGAAAGAAAAGGAAGGAAAGGGGCTTTGTTGAGATATAATTCACATGCCTTAAAAGTCTCCCCTTGAAGGTGTACAAGTCAGTGGTCGGTGGTAAGTATATTAAGATGGCAGCGCACCTGTCCCCCATGTGTCATTGACAAACATCTTCAATCCTCCGATCACCTATTAACAGTCACTCCCATGCTCCTTGCCCCGCGGCCCCTGGCAACTAATCTGCTTTCTGGTTTTATGGATTTATCTTTTCTGAACATTTCATATACATGAAATCATAATATCTAACCTTTTGTCACTATAAAGAGGTTTTTGAAAGCATTTTTTCCTTTAATTAACAAAATCAGCTTCCTTTTTTTTTTTTTTTTTTTTTTTTTTTTTACCATTTTTTTTTTTTTTTTTTTTTTTTTTTTGAGACAGAGTCTCACTTTGTCACCCAGGCTGGAGTGCAGTGGCATGATCTCGGCTCACTGCGACCTCCACCTCCTGAGTTCAGGCCGTTCTTCTGCCTCACCTCCTGAGTTGCTGGACTACAGCCGTGTTTCACCACGCCTGGCTAATTTTTGTGTGTTTTTAGTAGAGATGGGGTTTTACCATCTTGGCCAGGCTGGTTTCGAACTCCTGATCTTGTGATCCACCCACCTTAGTCTCCCAAAGTGCTGGGATTACAGGCATGAGCCACTGCCCCCGGCCAGAATCAGCTTACTTTTTAAGAAGGGAAACCGAGGGTGAAACATTCCAGCCTTTTTAGTTCTTTAAGCCCTAGCTCTCCGGCCTCTCTTAGGAGAACCCTTGAGCCTACCCCATTCCCTCAAATTGTTTAGGAATTCAGAATGGTTCCTGGTCTTTGTTCTCAGTTTGTCCTTGACCTAACTTTCTTTCTCTTTTCTTTTTCTTTCTTCCTTCCTTTCCTTTCCTTTCTTTCCTCCCTCCCTCCCTTCCTTCCTTTCTTCCTTCCTTTTGTTTGTTTGTTCGTTCATTTGTTTCACCCCTGTTGCCCAGGCTGGAATGCAATGGCACTATCTCAGCTCACTGCAATCTCTGCCTCCTGGGTTCAAGTGATTCCCACACGTAAGCCTCTCGAGTAGCTGTGATTACAGGCTTGTGCCACCACACCCAGCTACTTTTGTATTTCTAGTAGGCATGGTGTTTCACTATGTTGGTCAGGCTGGTCTTGAACTCCTGACCTCGGGTGATCTGCCTGCCTCGGCCTCCCAAAGTGCCAGGATTAGTGGTGTGAGCCACCATGCCCGGCCTGTCTTTGAACTTTCTGAGTGCAGCTCTTTTCTGGAAATTTCTCAGGGGACGCACCTGAAGCTCCAGGTCTCTGAGATGCTCTCTGGAGGGCCCGACCTTGTGGAGACGTTGCCAACCACATGGGCCTGGATCCGGGTTCAAACCCTGACTTTGGCACTACTTATTAGCTGTGTGACCTTGGGCTAGTTAATTATCACTCTGCAGGTCAGTTTCCTCACCTGTGAAATGGATATAGTAACAGACCTGATGAGATGATCCCTAGTGAGTCATTGGTGTTGCTGTGGCCACTGCCATTGTTGTTACTGGGAGAGTTTGGGATTTGGAATCCCGTGAGCAGGATTCTATTCTGGCTGAGCCACGCGCCAGCTATGCAGCTGTAGGAAGTCACTTCCTCTCTGAGCCTTCACTTCCCACTCTCTAAACCGGGGCTCACACGTTGCATTGCAGTTTGGAGGTGGATCTGTTGTAAGAGTGGACAGAAAAAAGGATGGTCAACTGGTACGTGTGGTGCGTTGTGGGCTGTCACCCCTGGTCTGCCCTGGTCTCCTGCCAGCCTCTCTGTAGTTTGATGCAGACTTGACTTTCCTGGAATTCTGAACGTTGCCTTTCTAAGCAAAGCCTGCCAGGGGTTTCCATGGTGTCTTGTTTTCCATGGTGCCGTGTTCCCAGCCCTGTCCACACTGGCTTCTGACCAACTGCTTCCTCACACTGCCGTTCCTACAAGGCCGTGTGGCTTCATGGTTAAGGGTGAGGGTTCTGCAAGGGTCAGTCTGATGTGAGTTCCAGTCCTAGGTCCACCACTTACTGGTCAGATGACCTCAAGTAAGTTGCCAACCAAGTCTTACCCTCTTAAGAGCTCATTTTTTCTTCCTGTAAAATGGGGCTAATAATAGTACCTGCCTCAGGGAAATAGGGGTTGAAAAATGATCTTATGAAATCCCCCTGCCCTACTACCGGAGCCAACTCAGTCAGTGGGGCTCCATGATCACTGCTGGGATCTGGGCTTGTGGGGCTGCAGGGGTCTTTTCAGGCCTCCTCATTGCTGCGTTGGGAGGAGGTGGAGGTGTTTGTATTACTGAGAGCATGTGGGCGAAAGGTCCGTAATACTTGAGCACCAGCTGACCCAGGCCACAGAGGCCACTCGTCTTGGTCTGGTGACCACAGGAGGCGGTGGCTGTTGGGACGACCCTCCCCAGCATTGGCAACAGCAGTCCCAGGCCATGTCCTGCTGGCTCGAGTTCCCCTGTCCTCTTGTGGATGTCCCTAGAGCTATGGCCTCAAGGTTTCTGAAGTTCCCAATAATGTGACATGCTGCCCAGATCTCACTAAACCATTTTTTCATTTTGAGACAGGGTCTCACTCTGTCACCCGGGCTGGAGTGCAGGACATGATCACAGCTCACTGCAGCCCCTGCCTCACAGGCGCAAGCCATCCTCCCACCTCAGCCTCCTGAATAACTGGGACCACAGGTACCCACCACACCCAGCCAACTTTTCTATTTTCTGTCCAGATGGAGTCTTGCTATGTTTCCCAGGCAGACCTTGAATTCCTGGGCTGAAGAGATCTGCCTGCCTCAGCCTCCTAAAGTGCTGGGATTACAGGCCTGAGCCACTGCATCCGACTCACCACACTCCTTACCTGCCCCCTGCACCTCAAGAGTGAACCTTAAAAAGTTGTCTTCAGGGGCCACAGGCTGAAAAAC